AAAATAAATTAGCCCATGATTACCATTGCTATTAACTACTTAGTCTGTGAGGTCAACTTACGTCAGAAATGCTACTACTGGTAAGACTATTTCAGCCAACACTGCTAAAAAAAAAAAACAAAAAAAAAAAAGGGGAAAAGAAAGGGGGGGGGAAAAATACTGGTAAGACTATTTCAGCCAACACTGCTAAAAAAAAAACAAAAAAAAAAAGAGGAAAAAGAAGGGGGGGGGAAAAAAAGGCAGCAGCTGTACCTTCCTGTTTTCATCTTGCATGCTGGCAGAAGTATGAATGTAGCCAGACAAAATCAGACAGTAAACCAGTCCAAATGAAGAACAATTCAGTAAAAAGAACGAGCTACTTTCAGCCACTTCAGCTGTTTCACCAGGTTCACCACAAAGCCACACCAATGGCTGCGTCAGCACAATGCTGGATGTTGCACTGAACAGGCAGCTGAAGTGGGGATGGATATTGCTAGTTTTGGTGACAATGCCAGCTGAAATACAACAAGCTTTGGAGTAATTTTCTGAGAATCAGAAGCACCAAAGGAAGCTGCAGATATCTAGATGATAATTCAGGGGTCCTCCTTGATTTCTGCAATCTGCCTACAAGATAACAGTGCTTCAGTCACCGTCACAAGAAAAGATTTGTCCAGTTCCTTTGGAAACAGGAAGTTTTTTATTGTTCTACAGGAAAACATACACGAAAATCAGCGAAAGGATACTCTTCTTCCAGCAACATCTTCTCAATGACAGCCCTGTTTTCTTCACTAATGCTGCTGTCCAATGTCCATGGCTGCAAACAATACAAATGTTTTAATATTTGAATCCCATCATGCTGTTACTTGAGTATCAAGAATATGTAACAGTTAATAAAAGTAAACAAAAAGCACTGGTTAAAACCGTAAAAAAACATGTACATGGAGGGAAGAGAATGGAGAAAGCAGAAGTTCTGATAACCTTGCTAGAAGTACCATTCATTTAAAATGTACTTACGAGACTGTTATCAGTCCTCCAAGACGAATCAAGATAGTGATCCTGCAGCAAGCCTGAAGCTGTGTTTTCATGATCTCTGAAAAAAGATTCCAGAGTTCAAAACAATGCAAACATATTCAAACAAAACGAATGCTATCAGAGCTAAAATAATGGTGTAGTAAATAACAAAAACATTAACAGAAAATGACAGAATTAGATGCTAAAGTTAAAATCATATACGGCAGACTATTACATAATGTTACTCTCTTCTAATATTCCATTAGACATAGCATAACCCCCCCTCAGTAACTCATCTTTCTTAGTAATCTCAGTAGCAACTCCTCACCTAGCTCATTGTAGAGTGTATACGATACCAGTGAAACCCTGAATAGTAAAAATTCTCTTCCAGAAAAACTGAAAGCAGGAGGGACCATGAAAAATATACACAAGTGAAAGGAGACAGAATTTTATGGACAGTTAAAACCCTGTATTTTTAATACTAACTTAATTTCAGTATTAAAAGTGTAATTGAGTTGTATTACCTTCACTTAAAATTTCTCCATCTTTCCTCAAATAAGGTAAAAACATACCCTTTATAAAGAAAAAACGGTTTTCCTCCCTAGCGAAATTGATACTTACACAAGGTTTAATAGAATCCTATCATACAGAATTGTGAGTGCTCTTAAGGACTTCATCCAGATTATGCTTGATCTTGTCTTCAAATAACTTACTACTTTTAGAAATGTTACTGATTAACGTACTTCATCAACATTCTGCAGCATAAAATATCTTTATTAATTCACATAATTTTTTTTGCCATTCTTTGCTTCCAGAACATTCAGACTTTTCCAGAGACTAATTAGCCCTATATTCCTTGCGATGCTACTGAAATTAAATTCACCTGCTATTCTGAACTGCTGAATCACAAATCACAACTGCTTTGTGCCAGCAGTTCAAACATCTCTTTACAGGTAAGGATAAATCCTCACGTACAGCCATAAACCAATATAACTCCTGCTGTTTTTGAAGCACATGAAGAAACGGGTTGGATCAACAGCCCCCTTTGCCCAGTGTTCCGTCTCCAGCAGCGGCAGACGCTGCTCCGGGACAGCAGGCCAGCCCGGCCAGCCTGGCACAACCCT